AGCTACGTGGCTCCGTGCTGCGTGGAGGGACTGTCAGTGATGGTGCCGTGTCTTGCGGGGGGCGGGGCGCGGGGGGAGCATTCTTGACCTATGAACCCACCCTGTGCCTGGAAAACGCTCAATAAAACCACCACCAAGCAGACCCAGACGTTCCCCGGAAGAGCCGGGCTCCAGGCAGAGCTTTAGTCCTGAGGCTGCAGGGACTCACCGCCGTGGAAACCCTTTCCAAAATGTGGAGCTTGTCTTGCACTTGCCAAGCCCCTCCCAGCCCCACTCCCCACCCCCAGCTTCAGGGGCCAGCGTGCGACCTGCGCAGCCCATGTGGCCTGTCATGTACGGCAGGAACTGGCCTGCTGTGTGAGGGAGATGGGGTGCTGTGAGGGAGCTGGGTGCTGTGAGGGAGCTGAGTGCTGTGTGAGGGAGATGGGTGCTGTGAGGGAGCTGGGTGCTGGGTGAGGGAGATGGGTGCTGTGAGGGAGATGGGTGCTGTGTGAGGGAGCTGGGTGCTGTGAGGGAGATGGGTGCTGTGAGGGAGATGGGTGCTGTGAGGGAGATGGCTGCTATGAGGGATATGGGTGCTGTGAGGGAGATGGGTGTTGTGAGGGACCGGGGGTGCCCACTCACAGAGCTCACCATGATGCCGTCGTGGACGAAGCCCCTGCGGTGCCGCGCGGGCTTCAGGTGCGGGTACTCCTCCGTGCTGGTCACCTGGATGCCCCACACCTGCTTCCAGGCCGCGTACAGCTGCCCGTGCACCGGGTAGACGCCCGAGTGGTGCGGGGCCACCGCGTAGCCCATGTCGACGGGAATGCCGTGCTCCTGAAAGAGATGGACGTCACGTGTGGGGGCCACTCAGTGAGGGCGGCCGCGGCCTCTGCAGGGGACACACTCCGTCCTCCCCACGGGGAGAGGCAGAGGAACAGCAGCCACATCCATCGGCAGCTCGCGGCTTATGGAGCTCGGACGGTGTGGCCGGCGGTGCCCACCTGGGCCTGTGGATGGGGGGGATTCGGAATGCTGACTGCAGAGAGCTGGGGGGAGATCTAAGACACGCCTTTCCTCAGATGGATACAGAGAAAAAGTGTTACCGTGCCCAATACGGGAGACAACAGAGCACAGTGCATGTGGTGTGTGTGTGTGTGTGTGTGTGTGTGTGTGTGAGTGTGTGCGAGTGTGTATATCTGCAGTGTGTGAGTGTGTATATGAGTGTGCATGAGTGTGTACATGAGTGTGTGTATGTGTGTGTATATGTGTGGTGTGTGTGAGTGTGAGCATGAGTGTGAGTGTGTGAAAGTGTGTATATGAGCAGTGTGTGTGCATGTGAGTGTGTGCATGTGTGTGTATGTGTGGTGTGTGTGTGTGTGTCTGTGAGTGTATGAGAGTGTGAGTGTGTGTGAGAGTGAATGTGTGTGTGTGAGTGTGTGTGTATGAGTGAGTGTGTGAGTGCATGAATGTGTGTGAGTATGTGTGTGTGTGTGTATGTTCAGTGTGTGAGTGTGTGTGAGTGTGTGAGTGTGTGTGAGTGTGTGTGTGAGGTTGTGCGTGTGACGAGCATGGGCTGCTCAGAGGCCGTGACAGTGTGTGATTGTGTATGAGTGAGTGTGTGAGTGCATGAATGTGTGTATGTGTGTGAGTGTATGTGTATGAGTGAGTGTGTGAGTGTGTATGCTGAGTGTGCATCAGTGTGTGTGTGCCTGAGCCAGCACAGCCCAGTGCTGACTCCATAGTCGCACCCCTGGTTCCTGGCGCCTGGCGGATTGGGCACAATGAGAGGCGGCGGGTGTATCCAAGGCTACGGAGCCCTGGTCACGTCCACACTGAGCCCCTAGGATGGGCCTCCCATCCTGCTGCCCCGTCCTTCCCGCCACGACCTCACAGCCCCGCTCCCGCTTCTCCTCACCGAGCTGCGTTTCCTGACATCTGTTACGGTCAGTGACGATCAGTGACCTCCGGAGAGACTGGGTTATAAAATCAATGCTATGAAATGAGCCGAGTCTCCCGCCAGGCACCTGGGACAATTCTGTTCCTAGCAGGAGCCAAGGAATCACACTTTTCCCAGGAGTTGAGTTTTTGGGCCGAGGAAGGTTGGAAAGTCCAGTCACAAAGCCGTGGATGCTGTGGGGTGAGGGGTGGGGGCGGCCCTTCCCATCCTGACACCTCCCTGGGGCCACGATGCCCAGCGAATGGTCACAAAGGGGATGTGTGGTAGCGGGGAGCGGCAAGGTGCTGCCCTGGGTGAGGCAGGTGCGCTTCCCCTGGAGGGAGCCGGGGGTGAGGGGCTGTGCCCACTGCCTGGGGGGGCCCCGAGCATGGGCTGCTCAGAGGCCGTGATCTGTGGGAAAGGGCAAAGCAGGGTATTCCAGGCTCGGACCCTTCCAAGTGGCTCACGCGGTTTGTAACAGCCACGTCCCAGAAGGAGAAACACAGCAGCGGCAGCATGTGGCCCTGACCGC